GGGGATAACTCATTCATAAATGTTGTGTTGGCTGCCGCGTTATCCAAGGTAACACCTTGAATTTTGTCTTCTAATTCACAATCATGAAGTGCTTTGTAAAAGGTTTCTGCAATCTCCCTTCCGGTGTGTTTGCCGTTGGAAGGAATAAAGAAAAGAGTTAGCGAGTGCAATTTCCAAGTTTCATCGACAAAGTGAGCGGTTACTCCAAAATAGGATCGATTAGAAACAGATGTGCAGCCGTCCAGAGTAAATAAAATTTTCGAACTATTACTTTTTAAAATTTTCAAAACCACTTTTTCGATTTCAAAATACCGTTTCATTGTTAAGGAATGAAGTTCTTTTCGCAAAGGTAATTTGTCGGTCGGATTCAAATAATTGAAAAGTTCTTGAGTAGGTTTATCGTCAAAAAAAGAGAATGGCAAATATTTCATTGCAATCCAGTCAACGACTTGTTTGTTAAAAGTTTCTTGAACAATTATCTGTAGTGAATTATTTATTTATTTATTTAATTATTAATATGTTATTTACGTAATACACTTAATATTTCATAAAAAATTAAAACAGTAATATTTAATAACAAAAGTGATAAAAAGAATGGTATAGTTTGCTTTTAAGATAAAAAATTCCCAACTATAAATGGTTTTACTCACATTTATTATATATTTCGACTACGAAAAAAAAATTTAATTTTGTTAAATAAGAGCAACGAAAAAGCGGAATCAAATGCTTGCTCATTATATTATTATCAGTTTCATAAATTAATCTTTTAATTTAAATTGTTAACCAATACAGATGTTGCAATTGCTATTTCATGTACTTCACACTTAACTGTACCAATCGGTTGTTGATCAAGAGCTTCAAAAACTACTGTTGGTTGAAAAGGGAACAATTTAATTAAATATTATACTTGGAAGAACATTCAAACACCCTGCATTAAGACTTTCAAAAATATAAAGTTTTATTCCATCGTAATAGACACAAATCGAATAACCAAAATCGTATTACCACTAAAAACTATTTGAATATGTTTAACTTCTTCTTTAATTGGAAAAATTAAATGAAGCATTTGTAAATACAAAGTACTTTGCACAATGAAAAAATAATTTGTATCTTTTCTCAAACATTTTTAAAATGTATACATATGCATATATTTTAAATTTTCATTTACATATTCAATAATTTTAAAATCTTTATTACTTAAAATAAAATACTCTTTTATGTTCGACATGGTAACTTTCTTCAAATTTCAAGCTCCTGGTAAAGTCACTTTTCAAAACAAATCTTCCATTTCAATTTCCTGCTTTAGAAAATTTATTTGGGTGATTCTCTCAAAAAGGACTAATGACTAAAGAAAAATTCCAAAAAAATTTGTCAAGTGCGAGTTACACTCGCTTACCTAGGGTTCCGTTCTCGATTATTTAAATATTTATATATGTTTAAATAAAATAATTTTCCTGTAATTTTCTTTCAATTTTTTTATTTATTTTGACATATTTCTCAGAATTTCACAATTACGAGCATATGTTGTTCCAAATATAAATGTTAATATTCAAAAGTTTTATAATTTTGGTACACTAAACCTATACGATGTTTATTAAATCAATTTAACCCAAAGGTGCTGGCACCAAAGATTTTCTTCTTGATTTTGATTCTCCAATATAACGACATGGTTATAGCTCGGGCGCGGCTGGTAAGATGAGGGACACCACTTTCCCTTACAGGACAGTAATTAAACGATCATCGACCATCTTATCTAAACAATAATAGAAAATAAACCCTCAACCGAAGGTTGTTTTTGACGAAACAAATTGCAGGTAGAAACCTTCGAGAACCCTCATTATGCGGCAATATTCACGATCTAAAAATTACAAAAAAATGCGAGCGGTAATGTTGCGGGTACATTACTGAATATTGCAGCAATATCTCGAGGCCATTCTACGTTCCGTAAATGTTCTTAAAATAAAAATATAAAAATCAATGATTGTAAGTAATGACAATAGATACCTTATGTTTGAGAGGTTCGCTATTACCACTTGTGGCTCTAAAATGAGTATAGATAGGCGTAGGAACCACATTAGAAATTGAACTTCTCGCAAATTATGGAAAAGATAGTTAAAACAAATCTACGTGATGAGCTTTTCCTTGAACGTAATTCTTCAGCTTCCCATCATTTTCTAACTTTACCCTGCATTCTTCTTGTTATGTAGTCTGGGCCTAACAATCTTACATGTCTATGACAACACAACATCAAAGTTGTAATTGTCACAAATGGAAAAAGGGGTAAAAATACCCCAAACCAAACATTTGCAACAAGGAAAATTCATAAAATAAATCCAAAAAAACAAGTTTTCCAATAATGACTTAAGCTTGATTTTATCAAGTGCATATTATTATATTTGGCTATAACTATTAAAAGAAAACAAAAACTCAGTATTATTGGCATAGTAACAGACCCAGAGCTTACTCCTTATTCACGTGTTAAAAGCAATTAGACCACAAAATTTTCCCACCTGAAGTCTCTAAACGTGCATATAAAAGAGCATCGCGGAAGTCAATTAATTGCAGCACAACTCTCATTCGCGAGTCAGCTCTGAAATTTTTCAGAGGCATAAAAACGATTTTGAGACGCCGAGATTAAACCCGTCCGTGAGTCGGATTTTTTAATTTTTACAATCCACTACATAGATAGTGATTAAAATTGGACGGACGAAAAGTTAAAGTAAATACTTCATGCCGACGAAGTCCAACGGATGTCGTTTTTAATAAAAATCCAATAATTTGAATAAAATCGAATTATTGAATTTTTGTCTTTTTGACCGGCCAGTCCGCACGTGTGGTGCCTGCGCTGTTTCGATTCGGTGGATCTTACCTTCTTGTATTATTCTTATGTTTTGAAATCGAGATTTTTATAAAATAAATTTATTAAAGGGTCTTAATTGGTTTATTGTGTTTTATCCCTTTAATTTATTCTCTAATAACGTAACTTAACAGTTTCTTTAAAAATAGGATACACGATCCCATAAAATAAACGGAATTTTCTTTTAATTTCGGCAGCTTGGTGCCTTCAGGACATAAAGGATAATAATTTTTATAATTAATATTTTTCGGTTCGTAACAAGCTGATGGTGGCAACGGTGGGATTTTTCCTTACATTGCTGCCAGCTACGTTATCTGAAAAATTGATTTTGATCAATTGTCACCTTAGAGTTTTCAATTATTTTTTTTTTTGACAAAATTTCATCTCAACATTAAATTTGTTACAATTAACACTACTAACATTTTAAGATTAAAAATCAATCACTCTAATTAATTGTGTGTTCGATTTTCTTTTCCTTCTATTGAAAGAAAAGTACATGATGACTTTATCTCAAAAATAAATTCTGGATTATGGCTCTCCAACTTTTGTTGTTGATGACGACGCAATCCTAACTTATGATTTTGGCTCTCCGACCTTGGTCGTTGATGATGACATTATTTGAGACATTGGTCCCGAAAATTCTTTCAGTAAAAAGATAAGAAAAGTTAAAAACTTTAATCAACTAATTTCAAACTTTTCTTTGAAAATTGTGTAAGAGAGGATTGTTCCGAGGAAAAACCTTTTCAATATCTAAGTGCATTCAAAAAGTACGGGACGACCTGTTTGAATTGAAAAAAATTGTGAATTTGGCTCTCCGACCTCAGTCGTTGATGATGACTCATTCTCAATTTTGATTTTGTCTCTCCGACTATGTCGTTGGTGATGACTAATTGAAATTCATAACAGTGAAGTCCTGAAATTTGTTTCGTTTTGAAATAAGAAAAACTCTCATTGCAAAAGAAAGAACCCTGTTTTTTTATTACCTTCTTATTGACCTTCTACACTTGACATGTCTTTAATAGAAATTTTTCATTTATTGCCTTTTGTGTTACTTATCGTCACCTTTACACACTCTCTAATCTCAGAATTATTAGGAATTTTATTTCAACATTTCACAATCAGAGTGTTCAAAACAAATCGAAAAATTCAGATAAGAAAATAGAGACCACCCTCATTAAAGACGAGATTGTTACTGAGAATCAAGTCTCAGTGAAACCAGAATATAAATTTCATCCCTTAAATAAACGAGTCAAACCATAATCACAAATTAAATTAGATTATTTTGTGACTGTCACATTACAACTGGACTAATCGGCAGACAAAGCGCCATTGAATTGGGATTACTATTATCCCCAATTTTATAAATGCTATTTGAAATTTATATAAAAAAAATTTTTTTGCTTAAGTTTTCCATTTGGGAGAATCGTATCAAAACAAAATTTTAAGAATCATTAAATTGATTATAAAACTAGTTACTCTACATCGCTGCTGCCGGTACAACACCGTGAGATCGGAAATTCCTATGCTGCATTCGAATAGTTTTCCGTAAGGAAAAGCAAGATAGAAAGAAAATACAATTCTCTTTCGCATCTCATTATATTCAAAAGCGCTGGTTTCAGTACGATCTCCCGTGAGGAAAGCTTACTTGCTTAGGTGTTACACTGCAAAGATTCTCTAATGTGGAAAAACTTAAAAGAAAATCTAAGTCTTGAATATTTCCTTAATATCCACGCAGAAATTACCGTTACAAAACGAAGTTTTATAATCAATTTATTGATTCTAAAACTAGTTACTCTCCATCGCTGTTACCGGTACGACACCGCGAGATGGGAAATTCCTATGCTGTATCTAAATAGTTTTCCGTAAGGAAAAGCGAGATAGAAAGAAAATACAATTCTCTTTCGCATCTCGTCATATTTAAAAGCGCTGGTCTTAGTACTATCTCTATGTGAGAAAAGTTTTACTTACCGATTTGATATAAATGTAACAAGTTCTGGCGTGAAATTAATGAAAATCAGTAAAAAGAAAAGAAAATTTTCGATAATGGACATTTTAAAATATCGTCCAATATAAACAGATTTCCACCAAATAAAATCTCTAGAGGAGAAGAGCAGGACAGAGGTGGGGAAAAATTTGCAGGAAAATGAGTGTATCCACAATTACAGAAAGACAACCAGCGACAAGAGTTCCGAGTTCGAAAATTTATTATAACCTTACCGAACCGACACTAAAAATCAGACCTATTAATAAAGTGAAACCTTTGCCCCCAGTTGTCCTCCCTGTAGCAGGACCAAGTAACCCCCAGGTTCCCCCTTCACAAGCTCGACTAGTTGACTTTGAAAGAGAGGAAGAATTAGCTCGTCGCAGGATAGAACACTTACAACAACACTTAGACGATAGTTCCGACGACTCTGACGAGACTACGGCATATGACAGTGATGTAATGATTTTTAGGACTCTCTGGATATTATCGTCGTTTTATTAAGGATTATGCTAAATTGGCTAAACCCTTACCCTACCATGTGATTTTGAACCAGTTCACTGGATGTCTTATGTTGAGAATCCTGGAGCAAGACTCATGCATTGGAGACTCAGACTCCAGGACTATCAATATAAGTTCGAATACAAGCCAGACAAGATCAACAGAATTGTAGGGGCACTTTCCAATAACTCCCTTAAAAGAGATAAAACAAAAATGGATCCAACTTCCCCTTCGGACTCAGATTGAACCGACGATACTTAGGAACCAGATCCAGAAGATCTTCGCATTCGGAGCTTAAAATAAAACAGTTCAGGGCATTCCCTATTTTCACACGATCCTCTCTCAAAACTAAGGGCAAGGACAATGTGCAAACGAACCCTGAAAAGAAAAATAAGAAAGGCAACCCTAAGGCACCCTTAGCACCCCCATCCATTAAAACCTTAGGTGGCCTCGGTAAACTTAAACCTTCAATGGTAGCCCAAGTTCAACCCAAGGATATTTTTCGGAGACCGTCAGAAGTGCCATCTACATCACGGCCACAAGGTACAGTTAGTTCCCCCACCCCAGGACCATCCTCACAACCTCCTTTGAGACCGAGAGGAAGACGCAGAGGATCCTCAAAAACAAAGGATCCAGATTGAGATGAATCCTATCTTCCCCCTCTGAAAGTTGATCCCACAGACCTGGATGTCAGCTGTGTAGCAAAGCGACTGAGGAAACGTAAAATAAAATCGGACAACAATCCTTCTGGCGGAAAGGAAGAATGTTCATTATCCGAAGAAAATTTTCCTGACAGTGATTACGAAGAAAGTTCGGATCCCCAATGTTTCGATCAAGCAGTAGCGCCTTTCCCAGCCTCCCACCTAATATTGTGAAAACAAACAACCCCACCCATGAAAACGTCACAAAACCAGTTTCCCCCCCAATCCATGGATACCCCCGTTGTTAGACTCGTAAACGAACGTTTATGTGGATAGTGCGTGTTGTCACAATGGTGGTGTACAACCCCGCGCAGATATAAGAGTTTGGTTCGGCCCAGATCACCCCCTCAACATTTCCCGAAGATATAGAGGTAGGCAAACAAACAACGCGTCAGAGATCGAGGCAAAGACAAGCAAAGAAAGGTGGCAAAAACAAATTAAGAATTAAAAATGACTCAAAAGTTCTTGTACAAGGAATAACAGAATGGGTTCTAAAATGGCTAACTAATAATTGGAAAACAAATGACAACAGACCTGTAAAGAATCAAAGAGCATACGAGAAATTAATGAGTGCATTAAAACACATGGACGTCATCTGGGAACATGTTCCTGGACATGAAGGAATCGATGGGAATGAAAATGCAGATAGATTAGCCAGAGAAGGTGCCCTTATGGAACCCGAATCGGAATCAAGTTCTTCTTCTTCATCGGAATCATTAGAAGCAGAACCAGAAACTAGCCTGGATCGATCGGTCTGAAGGTTCGACGAAGTCATGAAAAATCGTCCTGATCAGACCAACCAAACTCTAACTTGGCATCATGAAGGGATGAATAGAACCCCTAGGAAAAAGATCTATGTTTCTGATGAAGACAGTCCCTGGCGGAATAAAATCACTCAACGTACACTTTGTAAAGTAGACATTGAGTGGACATTGGGTAGAAACTTGGTACTTCGCAAAAATAAATGTTAAAATGACAAAATATGAAAAAATTTGAGTTGCAAAAGGTAAATAAATATCCAGAGACTCAATTCTAGTAATAATTGCGTTAAATAAAGCATTAAATATTAAAAAATTAATATAAATTGTGCAAAGTAACTTTTCGCATGTTTACATTCTATTGTTTTTTTTATATTTCCAATAAATTAATGTAAAATGACGTAGAACTTTACACATAATTTTAAAAAATGGTTAAATTATATGTAAATAAATAAATTGATGTATTTTTGCGGTTAATTAATTAATAATAATAAAAATTATATTTAATCTCAATAGTGTTGTGAAAAACTACAGAAACTGTATTACCGACCACATGTGATAATGAAAAAAAGTAATGCTAAACTTAAATAGTTACCATCACGAGGGACTATAGTTCTTGAGAAGGCCATATGGGCCGTTATATGCGTTAATGTGGACTAAAATGTAAATACAGGAAAGAAAACTGTGGCGTTCCGCGTGACATGCGGTACATGTTGTAACGTGGTAATTTAATTACCCCGTTTAAAACAGTTTTCAGAGGTTTCGCCGAAAACTAAGTTATTAGTAGAATTTTTAATATTAATTAAATATCGCGTTTTTGATAAAAAGTAAGAAAAATAATAGCCAAACCCGGACTCAACCTTTATATTTTTCTTTATTGGTTATTATTTTGTAAAAGATAACTATTGTATTTTTTATATATAAATCTTACTTTATGTACTTTGTTTATAATAATTTGTAAAAGAAAACATGTACAAATTATTACTGAAAAAGAGCGATAATCTATTTCTCAATAAATAGAGAAATCCACATTTGCTCAGATTATTATTTTGTTATTTTATAAAACTTGATCAGTCGGGTGAGAAAGAAGATTTCAATGAAGAAGATCTTCACATTTTTGGACTTTATATTATTAATTATTCACATAATTAATAATCACATCCGATATTGATTGGGATCTGACACGGAAGTATACTGAGGATGTCAACCATCAGGGGCCACACGCATTGCGCAGGTCACTGGGTCAGGCGACCCTGCTGTTGCAAATCAGTTCGAGTTTGGCTACTCACAGATTAATACATAAAATCAATTTATCATTTATCTCGTTCAATTGTTTTCACCGGTATAACCACAATCATGGAATATCGGAAGATATTAAATAAAATAAAAGGTTAGTGGGCAGTTCTTCCTGTCATTTGGCATCTTGGTGGTGAATTTACACGGAAAAACCGAGAATAAACAGGAAAATATTGGCCGACCGCATGGCAAAGAAAATGGACGCCAACCTGTTCTCGCCGGCTGATCTCACCGCCTAGTAGTGTGGATTTCTCGAGTGTAATAATTGAGTTATTTAATAAATTCAGAAATAATTTATATAATAATTATTTTAATTACAGTGTTTTATTTATTAAATTCAGTGTAGTGTGTCGTTCTCTCTCACCTGTGTGTGTAACTCACGTCCTGAGAATAAAATAAATGTTTCGCTTAGTGTAATGTGTGAACTCGCGGTAAGTCGAGCTAGCCCGGGTAGAGTTCACACTTCGAAACGGTCAACGGGGATCCGGGTAATCTTTTACCTGGCGCTGAGGAGGAACCTCTAAACGGATCACCGTGGGTCTTTTTATAAATTCGAAGCGTGGAATTTATAAATCGGAAAAGTGTATAATCAACGCCATTTTTGTAGCATCTTCTCTATGGAATTTTCCGTTGAGCACATGTTCGACAGGAATATAAGAAATTCGTAGAGAGAGATAGAGAATAGCGTTACAATGTATATGTCGTTTATATCTATATGGCAACATAACCTGATTTTGTGAAAACATTTAATAATTATTTATTTTTAGTTAAAGCTCTAGTGCCTGAGAAATAATTTAAATATATGGTATGAAAAAAGCGTTTTCTATTTAGGACGGAGAAAATAGGAAAAATTGTTATGTGTAGTATTAAAATATTTAAAAATCTCATTTCAAAAACAGTGCTGATTAAAATCATGTTTTTTATTTAAATTTGATTTTTTATTCAAATCAAATTCATTTATTTCCATGAGATTTTTCAAATGTTTTCTTTTTAAAAAGTTGGTTTTAATAAACACTTGAATAAAAAATTTAATAATTTAGACATGGAACAATTTTCTAAACATTTTCCATTTTTCAAAATGCAACTTTATCGATTTATTTATAATTTTTATTTAAATTATTAATATTATATTCATTTATGAATTTATAATTCATAATTAATACAATTAGAAAATCAAATAATTTATTAAGTCAAAAACAAAAATATTTTTTATTCGAAATTTTTAGTCAAGTTAATTAGTTTTAAAAATTATGATGAAGTTTTTTTAATTTTATCTTTAATGTAACTTTTTTAAAACTCATTTTTTCAAATTAACTAAAATTCTCAGCCAAATTAATTGTTTTTAACAGTAATATTAATTGCATTTTTTTATAAATCTAGAATTTTTTGAAATTTTTCCTGTGTTCATTTTTGAAATATTCTAAATAAAATTTCTTGGTAAATTTTTGTTCTTCTAATCGGATTTGTCATAAAAAAATTTAAATAGAGCTCTAGAATCATGTTTTGAAATCTATTTAGTGAAAATGTAAAATGAATATTTATATAAAAACACATATTTCACTAGAATTATTCACTGAATATGAATGAAATAAATGTAAGATTAATGTTTCACGTCCATACACACCAAAATAATCATAATTCAAGGATTTTATTCTTAGAAAAGATAAAAAGAATTTTTTGAAATTAATTTGTAATAATTGCCGACTTTACCCCATTTTACGGTAATTATTATAAAATACTTGAAAATCGTTAGAAAATATGAGCAATGACGTCACTTCAACTTCAACTTTCCAAGTATTTTATAATAATTAAATCAACAAAATATCACAATTTTCGCACATCATAGCCCTTCCTCATCATCTTTTAGGCATGTACATAAAATATCAGTTAAAAATTAGAATCTAAAATTAAAAAAAAACAACACAAAATTATAAGAAAAAAATTGGTCAAAAAATTAACATTGTCATGAACACGAGACCTAATAACAATCACATGTTGTTAAGAGCAACTTACAATTAAAAAGAAAGTAGACTGAATAGCCTAATATGATAAATATTCATCAAAGGAAACGTTAAATTTAAAGTTATATTTAAAAGAAAAATCTTTGATAAATAAAATCGGTAATAGATGTTTTAAGAGATGTTTATTTGTCGATTTAATATGTTATTTTTTCAAAATAATTTTAATTCATTTTTAAGACATCTAAAATGTGTTCTTTAGGTATTATAAGAAAACTTTTTCATTTAGTGTTTACTATGCAATAAGAAAAAAAATCATACTATTCTTCATGTAAAAATATTGTTTCACAACTTAAAAAATAAATTCTTTTTTTTAACAGGACATTCTTTAGTTAATTAAGTTAAAACACTTCCAAATATCCAAATCGACTTTTTGATGATTTCAATCGACTAAACCGACTTTTTTAAACTATAAAAGTCGATCCGAGACCATCAAACATAATTTTTTTAATAAATAATAAAAATTGTACGAATAGAAAAAATATAAAATAATAGTAATTTGATACAAAGAATTTTTACAAAATATCTTTTACTTTTTGTCTACAACTTATGGTATAAAATATGTTTAATAAAAAAATACAAGCTGCAGATGAGAAAAAAGTGAAAATCGGTATGTTTTTATTATATTTCACGTTTATCAGTACACTTGAGGTAGTATAAAATGCTATATACATAATTTGGTTTACTACAGAATATTCCAATACTTTATAATGTTTTTTTAATCCTTTAAGTCATATAGTAGAATATTCCATGATGCTGATCAGTATGATGAGTTAGAGATGTCGTTCCACTAGATGACACTAGGACAGAAGTTCCAATTCAAAAGTTCCAATTCAAATGTTCCAATTTAAAAGTTCCAATAAAAAAAAATTCCAACAGACAAAACTTCCAATAGACAAAAGTTCCAATAGACAAAAGTTCCAATAGACAAAAGTTCCAATAAAAAAAAGTTCCAATGAGAAAAGATTCAAATAGACAAAAATTCCAATTTAATAAAAATCCATTGTAAAAACGATAAAAGGGTGATATGAAATTAATAACTGATTACAATATAATGTTATAAACTTGGGAGATTTCTGCCAACAACGATTTGAAATAAACGCATAAACGTATGGTAACGCAAAGATTTGTTCTTTGTCATTAATAATTTGTGTAACGGAACCTAAAATCGCAAAAACCTAAAAAAAAATAAAATTACAAGTTATTTTTACAACTTACTAAAAACATGTCTCTTTGTATTTTACGTGCTGCAGTATACCTGAGTAAATATTTCTGGAGAGGTCTTAAACGTCCCGTCAACAAACCACATTTCCGATGACATTAAAAGCCTTAAATTTTCGTGCGTTGAAAATATAATGACTCTGCTGGAAGAATCACAATCACTTTCACCTTCGAAAGAATCGTATAATAAAAAAGGCTGCGACGCTCCAGTAACGCGATATGTTTCCGGAATTTCTAGCAAATCTTCAATTTTTCTAGGATTAGCAGGCAAACCTTTCATACGCTGACGTTGAAGAGCTTTTCTTAAATTATCTCTACCAGGCAATCGAGAAAGAACACCTTCAGAAACATTTTGTACTGTTCGAACAATTTTAATTGGTGCTGTCTCAGGATGTTCGATGGCCTGCCTCTTTAACCCACCAACGATTTTTAAGGCTTCGATTTCTTCTCTGTCAGGAGCGTGAC